TACGACTCGTACTTGCGAGCGGAGGTCCCAGGCTGTTCCACTATTTGTAATGCTACCGTGCCCCTTGCCGACGTTCGTAGTATTGTACCTCCTGTACATTACAGGAAGTTGTTAGATATGCAGATGAGTGGGTCTGGTTCGTAGTAGTGTACCTTCTGCACATTACAGGAAGTGTTAGACGTGCAGTCGAAGGATTGCCTGCCTCTTCTTCCGGCTCTGGTACTGTACATTACAGGAAGTTGTACAAACATCTGTCCAAGTTGCATATAAAGTAGTTTGTTTTTCGGCTGGCGTTACACCTAAAAAATTTACCTGTTCCAACGTACATACAAATTCAACTTAAAAACAAACCTACAGTCCCTATCTTCGTAACCCAGGGACTGCCTGTAAACCTAATGGCTCCACCGCCGAACTACAAAGGTCACCGATTTGGCACTTAACGTTTCTTCCACTTCCAGTCAGTTCATTTTTTGAGTAAAGTAGAGAATCAATAGTGGAGATTTGACTTCATGAAGTGCTACTGACCTTCCATTGATTTAGAACTCTAAAGACAGAACTATTTCATCTACCTGTGCCCTGCATGGTGCCCTTTACTTCATCTGGCTATGTATGCAAACCTGTCTGGTGCAAGTCCCATTTTATTGTTCTACAAGAAAATGGCAAGGTGGTGTGGGGAATGTTCCTGTATGGATGGTTTTGAGAAGTTTTATATTTGGCTAAAGCGTAAAGTTTTATAACCAAATATTTTATAGTTCCTTCTAGTGGCAAAAAGGGTTCGAGGATCTGTAAGATTTTTTTTATTGTTGTCTTTGTCTCCGTTGGGGAGATTTAAAGTAGTATTAAACTCTCACACTGTATTTCAATAATTCAGATCAAACAATCATACACTGATCAGCCACAACATTATGACCACTGAGAGCTAAAGTGAATAACATTGATTATCTTGTTACGGTGGCACCTGGAAGTCTGTGGGATATATTAGGAAGAAAGTGAACATTTTGTCCCTGACGCTGATGTGTTAGAAGCAGAAAAAATGGGCAAGCGTAGGGATTTGAGTGACTTTGACAAAGGCCAAATTGTGATGGCTAGATGACTGGGTCAGAGAAACTCCATAACTTCAGCTCTTGTGGGATTCCTTTGGGTCTGCAGTGGTCAAGACCTACCAAAAGTGGTCCAAGGAAGTAAAACCGGCAAACAGGGTCATGGGCGGCAAACTCTCATTGATGCACGTGGGGAGGAAAGTCGGGCCCGTGTAGTTTCGATCCAATAGAAGAGTTACTGTAGCTCAAATTGCTGAAAAGTGAATGCTGGTTCTGATCAGAAGGTGTCTGAACACAAAGTACATTGCAGTTAATTGCGTATGGAGCGGTGTATCTGCAGACATGTCAGGGTGCCCATGCCGACCTGTGTCCACCGCCAAAAATGCATACAGTGGGCAGCGGAGCATCACAACTAGACAACAGAGCAATGGAATGAAACGATCTGCTACTGGAGGCTTAGTGCCAGATATCACTGCATACCTTCAGGGGTCTAGTGGAGTGTATGCTTCAATGGGTTAGGGCTGTTTTGGTGGCAAAATGGTGGGTGGTCATGTTGTTGTGATCGGTGTACATTGCCCAGCAAGGTAATTGCCCAATCACTTAGTCATGTTTATGAACGGCTCAACATTTCTCAAATCTACTTCCCTGATCTTCCTGTCTAGTACAAGAACACAGCATAGTGTCCAGCAGCTGTCCATCTACTAACATGGAGGGAGGAGGAACAAGGAAAGAAGAGTGGCTTGCCCTCCTGTACCTGTGTGTTTTGTGAAGACACAAACAAGGGTGGCTCCATAGGACCCTGCAAGGTAAAGGAGCCACCTTAAAACAGGATATCTGGGCCAGTGCTTAGGAGACCAGCTTATTCTTCTGGAAACTAAAATGTTTAAATAGCAGCACAATCCACTGTGAGTAATTATCTTGTTTTTAAAATTATTATTATTAGCATTGATATAGCGCCGATAATTTTACGCAGTGCTTTACACAGTTCACATTCACATCAGTCGTTGCCCTCAAGGAGCTTACAATTTAAGGTCCCCATCTTGCATACAGGGCCAATTTAGAAGGGCACCAATTAACCTACCAGCATGTCTTTGGAGTGTGGGAGGAAACCGGAGTACTCGGAGCAAACCCATACAAGCGCATTGTAGACAGTGACCTGGCTGGGATTCGATCCACTGCTACAAGCAGTGCTAACCACTACACCACTGTGCTGCCCTTTGACTTTAATATCACTTTAAACTAGCCATACATGGCTAGATTTCTCTTTCAGCTCTAGGGGAGAGAAATCACTTGATTCCCCCATCCACACTAAACAGCCTTTATGGAAGAACCTCCCTTTTGGACTTTTGTTTGTTGTTTGAATACCCAAACAGTGACCACATCTGATTAGAAGCAATTGCTGTTCGACCTTATATTTTACACCCTGCTCCTGAAAAGTTTTTCGAGTTGGGTGGGGCGCACACGGCTTGAATTTCAGCGGATTCAGTAGGAATCAACCGAAATTCAAATGTATAGCTAGCATAACCCTTCCTGTCCAAGTGATGAGAAATATGTTTGGTCAAGACAGACATGGCCACAAAAGCACATAGAGCGATGAGGCGTTAGAACAACTGTCAGGTTTTGTTTTTTTTGGTTGTGCTTCTGACACCCACATATATATTTTTTTTTGTCCTTGTTTCACTGGGAGGGAAAATCTCAGCAATTAAAACTTGACAGATCATTAAAAATCTCTTCCTCACTCTATCAAAAACTGAAATAAATTGACTGACGTCGGGGTTTAATAGTCTGGTAGGTTATAGTCAGTAGCTTTGGTGTACACTTCTAAAGCGTGAATGTATATGAAACCTTAAGTTCTCCCCCAATAATTTGGACTGTTCCCAGCAGGCAGTGATGACAGAAAGATAGAAGAAGTGTTGTCAATTGCTTGCAATGTGCTCCATGCAGGCAGCTCGCTGACTTTCCAGATCCCTTGTCCAAGATAAATATTAGTGAGAGCATAGCTTGGATCCAAATAAGAAAAATACACTGGTCTACATAACTCCCATCTGACACCATTAAAAATAACAAACATTTCTGAGTAATTCCCTATAAGAACACCCTCGCTGGAATTTTCTGAAGTCAAAGCTGACACAAAATTGAGCTTTTATTTAGCATTCAGGAACATGAAAGGGCTGTTTTTACCCTGTGACCTTTTTGCCTTCCACACCGTGACTGAGCTTGACTTGTTTTTGGCAAATCAAACCGAAATAAATAAGTAAATAAGTTGGACGGTTCTGCTGCTCGTTTTGTGGTGAGCTGGATGAAAACGCTCAGTGTGTGACCACAAGTGAATACTTTTATTGAGAATGAAAATCATTACCTAAACCCTTGGAAGATCTGGTAAACCTCTTACTGTTCTAGGGTGTATACCCCAGTGTTCAGAATGTGGGGCTATTTAAAGAAGAACTCTGGGGGAAAAAATTATTAACCCTTGCAGCGGGGTAACCCTGCACTGCAACAGTTAACGGCTCATTTTTGTCTAGGGACTAAAAGAAGAAAAAGTTATACTCGAAAGTCTGAGCCGGCCGGCTATCGGAGCGCTCCTTCCAACCGGTTTTCTCCTACGCTGCCGCAATGCTATGTCACTCGGCTTCCTCACATTCAATACACGGTGTATTGGACATGATGATTCGAGTAATCTTTGTCCAGAGGCGGGAGAGAGACTCTGGAAGGACTTGTCTAACAGCCAGTCAACTCCAGGGCTTGGGTGTCAAAACGAGAACTTAACCTGTGCAGTGAGGGGGGCGGGGGGTACCCCCACTGCAGGGGTTACTAATAATTCTCCCTGGAGTGCTGATTTAAGCTTTAACATGTTTTTAACAGATGGAGATTGGGATTTAATCTACAGTTTGTTTTTAGATGATCCAAAATGTTGTGGTTTTAGTATAGATTCTAGAAGATGTCTTCAGTGTGCATGCTGACCTGGAAACAAGTGGCAATTGCAGTAAAACTTTCCAAAGGGTTTTATTTGCCAGGGTTTTATTATTCTCTGCCACTGGTACTTCTCCAGGTTGGACTGTTGGCTTTAAGGGGGAATTCCAGGTTTTAAAAAAATAAAAAATAAATGCACACTTAATGTGTATCAACTGAATAATGAAGGAATAAGCGGGGCTGCATGTGGACCAAAAACATCACTTTGGCATACTTGGGCTAGAGCTTAATTATGCTACTAAAATAACAATGTATTTTTAGAAGTAGCAGCAGCAGATCACTACACTGAGGAAACACCTGGTTCCCGATGGTGTAGGGTCACTGGACAGTAACCTTTCAGGTCAGACACTGGTGTAAATGGTTCATTGCTCTGTTAAGTGCTGCAGAATGTCAGGGCTGTATAAATATTTACAAGTGAACCCAATCAGTGATCTTCTTCCATACATTCAATCTGAGTAATCCTTACATGTAGGTCTAAAGCTGTCCATAACAGCAAAGATGGTGAATCCATCCCTCCCCCACCAGTCTGTTGTATTCTGACAGTTGCGGGTGAACCGCTGTCAGAATACCCTGATTCACTGTTTGGTCGAGATTTTTCGGACCAGCTACCTCAACAAACGTTGATTGCAGAATTTACTTTTGTCAAATGGATGTTACCGATGGGGTCAAATTTTGGTCAAGTCCTGCTGACTCTGCTGTACTTTGACCAGTATATGGCCAGTTTTGGGTGGCTCGTCAAAGGGTCACCAGAAGAATACTTCTTGAGGACTGTGGGTGTGTTTGGGAATTTCTCCACGAGCAAGGGTTCTCAAATCACGAGGGTGCCAGCACAGAGGAGTTTGGAGAACTAGTGAAATACAGCAATGGCTGGATGAAAAACTAAAGTACTGATGTATTGTATGTATCTCAAGGCGTCAATGTCAATTGTACCTTAGATTTGAAGAAGATGCTCTGTATATTCCATAACGTGTATGGTCTCACTCCTGCCAGGTGAATGTTCGAAATGGCATGACCCTTCATGACTGCCTGATGAAATCGCTAAAGGTGAGAGGACTCCAGCCAGAGTGTTGTGCAGTTTTCCGCCTTCTGCTGGACTCCAAAAGGTAAGAATCTGGTTCTTGGCTAAGTAAATGACATTATGCTTTATTTCATGCTTGTGGGCTTTTATTTCTTTCTGGAAGCCTCTAAAGAGGTCCCGATCATAACTTTCAAACACTTGTGTGGCACTTCTTTTAAGGGTCTAAGATATTGATTACCTGAAAAAGAACTCCATCTGACAATACCATCAGCTTTTCTCTCCAGGATGGGGCCATCTTTGTGAAGGGACTATCCAAGGGTAGCATCTACTCCCTGGACTGTGTCCACAAATGTCTAATGGCTAGTTCACACCAGCCCAGTTGGGCAGCTTTGCCCATCACAAAGACAAGTCAACATACCTTGCTTTATATAGGACCTGTTCACACCAAAGCACTTTGTGTGCATTACAACAACATGAGGCAGACATAATTTTTTTGCACAGCACTAGTATATGCTGTAATGCTTCAGTGCATAGAATTCACACAGAAGGGAAAAAAGTGAGCATGGTGATGTGTTAGAACGGCACATTGCAGCACGTGGCCGCACATCCGTTATGCATTGCCGTGTGGTGTAAACCTCTCCTAACAGATCTGCCCACGCTTTATCTTCTTACATTGTGACTAGCTACACGTTTAAAATGCTACAGTCTTATCACTTGAGGCAAGTGATTGAGGAAATGCTTTCTGCTGCAGGTAGGAGACTAACGGTATCATCTCAGTCTAGGAAAAGTCACTTGACTGGCGCTCAAACACTGCCGTTAAACGAGAACTGTGGGGTAAGTGTTTTTCCCCATAGTTTTCTTTAGGGTCACGGGAGGACATATCCTATCCTCCTCCCGTGACCCAAAGCTCAGTATACCGCAGACTGTTGCTGCATATAGTGATATGATTTATGGAGGCTTGTAAAGTTACTGAAAGGTCCATTTCAAAGAGACACTATGACCTTGCCTATACAGGGGAAGTGACAGTGTCAGTCCCCTTGCATGGACAAGGTGACCGTGTCTAAGAGAAGGCACATAACGCAGATTGACTTTGGTTATTGGTTTTTAGATCTATGTTGTTTTTGGCTGTAGCCGCTTCGGAGATGTCATAATACAATGGTTTTGATGTTTTGAGCTTTTCTGTGAATTATGCAATAAGATGAATTCTGTTCTGAAACCAAGAACTGTGAGCGTCTGGTTTGAAGTCGTGGCCTCCTCTTCCCCGCCATGCAAGGCGAGAAGCTGGCTACACTTTGAAGTGTTTCCCAGTGCGAGTTTTGTTTTGGTTGAGGTAATCAGATACTAAGTTTCTGTAGGTGGGGACAAGTCACGCAACTTATTCCTGTGGGATTTGTGAAACTGCTGTGTGTGTCAGCCAACAGATACAATGACTTTCTGGTTGTGCCTTTCCAAATATTCCATTGAAATTCACAAATAGAACCTGAGGTGTGTACGCAGCACTTAATCATGGTCGTGTCTGTCTATGTGTTCCAGCTGAGTCTAGCATGTTGCCCGAGGCTGCACTTTGAATCTATTTCTGGTTCATTACTACAGCAGTAATATTGCTCACATTTTTCTTACCACTGGTATGCTTTGTGTAAATAAAGCACATTATCAATGCAGTTATTTTACTGAAGATATAGGAAGACCAAACACAGGCTGCTATAATGTGCTGCTGCCATTCGTACACTGTACGTCGTCAGTCACGAAGGGGTTAAAGTGGACGTGTGAAGGTTTGCTGTGTTATAGGGAACTTCTAGAAGTGCCTAAAGCTGGGTATACACGGTTATAGTTTCTTCGTTCAACCTGCGGGCTGAACGAAGAAAATAAATCTTCCTCCATCAGTGCTTACTTCTAACTCATTATTTTGTTTTGAGTATGGGAAAGCGGGTTGGCCAGATTTTCCTGGGAGATTTCAGCATGAGAACGAGAATTCTTTCTTGACTAGTGGTGGTGGTTAAAATCTGGGAGCTCCACTAGAGATATTGCCACTGTAGTCCTTGAAGATATGAAGGCAGTAAATGATTCAACTTGCCCTGCTGTGAACTATGCAAAACTGAAATGTTTTTTCTGTGAGCGGGACATTGTACAAGGAACTGTGGAGGGGGATATTAAAGCAATTACAGAAAGATGGTTAGCTCACTCTTGCTGTTAGCTAGAAGCCAACAAAATCACAGATCACCTGCATTTTAATGGTCTTCGAGCAGGTGCTTATCTTTTTTGGCTCTTTTTTGTCATTCTCTGTTTATTGTAGTGATGCACCGATACCATTTTTTCCAGACAGAGTACAAGTACCAATACTTTTCCTCAAGTACTCGCGAATACCAATTACTGATACTTTTTCTTTTTTTCTTTTAGTGTGCAGGGTGTCTCAGGAGGGCCGTGTGGGGTCTTCCAGGGGGTCCCGGTTGGTCTCCTGCCTGCAACTACACTGCCTGCGAGGAGGAGATTTGTGGCTGGCGCTGGGGTTTACAGGAAAGCTGCCTTGCTGGGGACCTTCCCATGAACCACAGTGCCGGCTTTAGTTGATAAATGTAAAGCACCAGTATCGGCGCCTAGTATTGGGCGAATATCTGTAACGATGCATCCCCAGTTTATTCTCTTGACTTGGAGATCATTAAAACTCAAATTCAGGCACTCTGCTAAATACACGGTTGAAAAGCATATATTTGGCCATTGTTTATATACCAAAGTATATAAAATTCCATTTTGGGAAAATGGAATTATCCCCTCCAGTGTGCCCCTCGGGGTACTACTCATACTACTCATACTCCGTATACAGTAGCACACCTTGCACTCTTTATTTTCTTAGCAAGAAGGGCTCCTCCTTGGTCAGTGTGGCAGGTGACCAAGCTGGTTAATGAGTACTCGCCGTTTTTGAGAAAAAGTTCGAGGGCAGGGTGTGCTGCCGTGTACGGAGTACAGGTAGTACACCAGCGGAGGGGAAGGAGCGTTCGGCCAAAAGTATGGAAGGATGGGGGCGCTTGGTATTGGCTAGAGAGGGGGCCCAGATTAGAGGAGGTAACTTGACTTTGACACTATGGTATTGGTTCTGCCGTTATTGATGTGTGGGTCAACACAACCCACCGGGGGGGAAATGCTCCTATTCACACCCATTCAATTTCAGATGTCCTTTCGTTAGCATATGTTGAAAAATGGATGCCACTGCATCTGGTGTGAATGGGGCCTTAGTGTAGTGATCCATGCATCCCCGGGAGGACTGCACAACCAGATCCTCAACCTCCACCAAAGCAGACCTTCATCTACAATACTACATCAAAACTTACCCCAGTAATTTGATTACACAGTTAAGTTACAATAAATGTGACCCATCTAGGGGTTCTGTGTTGGGTGGATGGTGGGGATGTTTTGGTATGTAAAGTATATCGGTGTCAAAAATACTGCCTCACTTGATCACACTAAAATTATATACTGCATTTAAGGAGTCACCCGGAAAACAAAGATTACTCTAGTTTTTTTAGTTTCTGATTTTTTGGCTCTAGGCATTAGGAAAGGGTAGATCTACATCCATTTATTCTTTGGGGGGCAGTTTGTTAACATGGAAAATAAAGCTTCTGGCTACTTTATATCCTAAACAGTTGTCTAGAAAATAACACTTTAATATGATTTTATGTTCCAGCAAGAAGCATCGGCTGGACTGGGCTACGGACGCCATGTCATTAATTGGAGCGGAGCTTCAAGTGGATTTCTTGGATCATGTCCCGCTTACTACCCATAATTTTGTAAGTTGCTTGCAAATTTGTGAGGCAAAACTCATGTATTTCTCATTATGTCAATCGCTTTTGAACCTGTTATAACTGAATTTTAACCATTATAAACCCTTACTAGACAGCAGCATCACCAGTTACTTTCTTTAGTACCATAGCGTAGATCAAGTGAGCCTGTGTTAGATAAACAAAAAGGGGGTCCAACCTAAAAGTAGGGGATGATTAAAACTCTGGTTAGTTTTACTTATTGTAGTAAGTGCCCTTGGGAAGACGTTTCTCCTACTTGTGTCTCAGAAACGCAGCAAGGGAGTGAGAAAAAAATCTTCAAAGGGGCTATCCCCTCTGCTTTGATTCACCTGTCCAGCACAAACTTTTGGCCTGTTGCACAGAAAAGTTTGATTTAGTTTCTGTACAAGTCATAGTTCATCAGTTTTTGTAATTTTATATAGAAATACCCTGACACCTCTTAAACCATAAGTTAACTGGAAACATTTAAAAAATGCGAACAGGTAGGCTTTTTATTGCAGAAGAGGAGGGTCATTTCACTCTAAATAGGTAAAGTAACAGATACTCTTGGTACATTCACACCTCTGTTTGTCCCGGTGACCATTGTTGCAGATATAGAAATTGATAGGAAGTCCAAACTTTTGTACTTATGTGACCAGAACAAGAGAAGAGGAGAAATCTTGCAACTGGATCCCCTTGTCCAGCAACATCACTCCTAGGAGAATCCCTCTAACTTTCTTTTGTGTCTAAAGGGAAGTAAGTAAAGAGAAATTCCCCCATGGGACACAGCAAAAAATATACTGGAAGGAGTTTTAGCCAATACTTATCCCATCTAAGAATTAAAAAAAAGGATTTTGGCTTTACATACATATTCTAATGTATGTGAACCCAACAATTATCTTATCTTGCTCTTGTTTGGTCTGGTAAATATACCACTCAAAATGTTTTGTTATATCTGTTTAAGTGCAAAAAAAATACTTGTTGATCTTGTCAGAAATGCAGAGCTTCCTGTGCACACTTCCTACATTATCTTAAGTACGGTAATTAGTCCTTCCATTTTTTAAATCATGGATTACAGTATAACCAATCACAGCGATCACAGGACACAAAGCCAGTCTGGTCTACTCTGGATGGAATTTATCAAAATCTGGAGCAGTTGCCCAGGGCAACCAATAAGCTTATTTATTCAGTTAAGATTTGAAAATGAAAGAGAGAAGCTGATTGGTTGCCATACACAGCTGCTCCAGACTTTGTCTGCTCCAGTTTTGATACATTTCCCTCTGTGTCTAAAGCCGCTGCTCTCTACTGACAGCAGGAGCAGCTGCCGCGCACACAGGTGCGCATAAGGGGGTGTAAGACTACATCCTCTCGGAGCAATGGGGCTGTGGACTGGCCGTATATATACAGTGGCCGGTCCGCAGATGGTTAAAGCATATCTAAACCCTAACACAAAAATTGAATATTGCTGCTAACGATTCCTTAGATATAGTGGCTGCGTTTGTTTCCTTTATCGTGCTCCCCCCCCCTTTTTAATTTCACCTACTATTAACACTTTCTGTCCCTATTCTCCCTATTGTATATATGGGGGGAACCATAGTTGTTACACAGGCTAGACTTCAATCATGCCTGCCTTTGTTCATCTCCATTACATGGTGGATTGATTGAACTGGTACTTTACACAATACAGATGAGGTGAGGTCCTTCATGCTTACTTTTAAGTTCACAGGAAGTGATCAGGATATTACATTTCCAGCAAAATCAACAGACATGTTTTGTACTTACTGAACATGTTGTTTGTCTACAAAATAAAAACTTTTGCAATCACTACTAAAATATATTACATTTTTATGTTGGAGATTAGATATACTTTAAATGACAGGTTAGTTTAAAGTAGTTACATAAAAAAAAAAAAAGATGGAAAATAATAGAAATATTTGGGCGCTCCCGATTGCATTACAAAAAACATGTAGCTATATGTATGAATATATATAATCTACACATATCCAAGAATGTATGTGAGCACCCATTTTGACAGAGTTGCACACTAGTCCCGCTTTCCAAATTGGCAGATGTCAGATGAAATGCACGGACCATTTCTGTAAAGAAATGAACCAATGGTTGAGCATCAGCATATATTTACCCACGTGCTGTGTGCTTCCCTCCTGTCATCATTATCATTTGGTAATTAGCCCCTACGTTGTAAGCAATGCTCATGACGCATAAGTATTGCAAATATTAGTCCTGGTGAATCAAATGTTAGCTAAATGCAGAAGGCTATTGGCACTATTTTGTTGACTTTGTATATGAAATCCACTGCTGTGCTAATTTAAAAGGCATTTTTAATCACATTACATAAAGTGATCATTTGGCTACTTATAAATGGGAACAAACCCATAAGGGTTTGCTTTGCTTGAAACAGATGGAAAGCCAGTTCTTTTAAAAGAACAACCTCCATCCTGCTGATCCTTCCCTTTCTTCTACACACGTGACTGTGTTCAAGTCCTGACCCAAGCACTGCATCTGGGGAGATCATGTGCTCCCCCATACCTGAATGTATGTTCCTGCTTGTGTAGCTCCATCATCATGTGACTGTGTATAATGTTAGAGTGTAGAGTGATACTGTTAATACAACACATAAAATGTCCCAATTACAAGTACGATAGATACCACTGTTGAGCAATAACAGCAGTAGAAAAGAGGACACCACCCATACAAGCTTACAGTAGAGGGTCTGTTAAATCAGTGTCATTTCTGTTAAAGGTTATTGGATTTTTTTTATTGACTATTAATCACCCGAACTTCTTTACGACAGGTACGAAAGACTTTCCTGAAGCTGGCTTTTTGTGACATCTGTCAGAAATTCCTTCTGAACGGTTTCCGTTGTCAGACGTGCATGTACAAGTTCCATGAACACTGCAGCACCAAGGTGCCGACCATGTGTGTGGACTGGAGCAATGTCCGGCAGCTACTGTAAGTGCCCGTTACAGGCAAGACTGCCTCCCAGAATGCTCTACAGCTTGACAGGTTGCTTGACGTATGTTATTGCAGAAACACCGTCCAGCTTAAAAACTGGCTCTCCTAATTGAGTAGAGATCTCAGCACTTGGTGAAACATCTGGATGAACTGGTTTATTCTATTTTTAAACAAAGTTATTATTGTAAATGAAATGACAGTGGGATGAGCAAAGGGCATAAACACGGCCTCCTTCCAAGTAATTACCACAGCCTTTCATCATCCTGGAATAGAAAGTTCGCAAAAGGAGTTTTGGTCATGCGAAGGGCTGTGTTACCACGCCAGCACTGAGTGTACATAGAGTGTAAATAATTATCTCATTAACTTCTAGCACATGTGGTGAGCTTCATCAAATGTTAAAAGCGTTTCTGTTATCATCCGCTGTATTTATATTTTACTAAAGCCATTGTTATCAACAAAGATCTTCAATAGGGCCACCCATGAAAGCAGGCCGCCTCTTCCCACTAAGGACCAGTGCCATGTCAGGACTGGGGTGCTTTCATGTATAGGATCTAAGTAATCGAAAACAGAAGCATTCGCAGTATTATACAGGGATACTTTAACATAAAGATCAGTGTTACCCCTAGCAACTAGTTTGCAACTCTGCTTTCTACTGCAAATTTAGGAAATAACTAATAAAGGGAAGATAGGATGCAAATACCAGGGCACTTTAGTGTTTAAGGAAAGTGACCGGTTGCGTTGCCGTGTTTTCCATAGGTTAAATTTTACCATATTCAAGTACATCTAAAGCCAAAAAATGGTTTTGAATAGAGTAGAGTTTTTCCCCCTTAGTCTGTTCTGTTGAAGAAATTTCACTTCTTCCTGTTCTGGAGACAGCAGAAATAGAGGGGAATTCTGGTAAAAGTAAGGGAATAACCTCTTAAAGCATTGTCATTGCCACGGGTGTCTCCATTAGATGATGTCCCCTCTACTGCTCTTCTGACTGCTGTAAAATTTAGAATGTCAATATCACTTTTTGTCCCAGTGACACTAGACTAATAGAGAGGGATGAACTTGCCCTTTGGGGGCACAGACAGCAGTAGAAACCCGACCGCTTTTACAAAAAAATGTCCTTCAGTCTGAAAATGAAAAAGTTTAGGTTAAGATATATAGTTTGTTTTGGCTCTTGTCCTATGTCCTGTACATAAGAACATTGATTATTTTATTGTCTCTGCTGCCTGATCCCCTTGTGTACATTACAGTATGTACGATCTCTTCTGCTTGCTCCTAATTTGAACATGAAAATTGAAAAGGAAAAGTAAATATCCCTGGGAACCCTGAAACATACCACATAATCACCTGCCCCTCAGGATTGGTTAGCGAGTTCATCCATCACAGCGAAAGGCCAATGGTGAGGTTCGGATGTTGGCGGACCAGTTTTCCCTATTACCAGGAGCACTCACGAGCTCACCAGGGTTCATGGCTCCTTGGGCTCTTTTTTGAAGATACCCCTAGGTACCTGCAATTTATGTATTTTTTTCACTAGAAAATTCCTTTTTTAAAAGTAACAGACTTACAAGCATTAATCATGCAGAGAAGAACAGTGAAATGGTCATAACACGAAGTCAATACTGTAAGGGGGATTGTGAAAGAAAAAGGGGGGAGGGTGGGGTTCCAGAGAACGAACCATGTAATGCGCAATAATTCCAGGAAGTCCTATTGCATAGCTCTGGAAGGTAAGAGTGAGGCAAGCGCAGCGATGGAGCCCAGGTGTTGCTCTGCAATTTATTTTTGTAAATGGTTTAGTTATTTGAGCAAAATAACTAACTAGTTTATTTTTGAGCCAGAAGTGTATGTATTATAGTCAGTATTTAAAGCTCAACTTCAACCAAAACTTTGTATTAAGTGTTGGGCAAAGCAGGGTTAGAACCTCTGTCTGGTGTTTGTCTGCCCCTCTCTTGGTAAGATTTCTCCTCTCTTAGGGCCCATTCACACTGGATCTGATGCGTTGCGAGAAGTTTTTCAACATGCTAATGAAAAATGAATGGGTGTTAATGGGGCTAGTACACACCGCTCTGTTCCGTTGCGTTACGTTGTGCTGCAAAAAAGTGGAACAAGCACTACTTTTTTCAGCGCAATGTAACGAGAAGGATCCGTTGTGAACTAACCCCATTCACAGCCATTCATTTTTGGTGCCTTCCCATAGGAAAAACGTATCGCAATCTAACAGAAAGGAAGGGAATCGGAAGGTACAATTGCAAGTCAATGGACCCCCTCCATTCATTTCTTCTGATTTTGCACCCTTATTTTTGGTCAGGACAGAAGTTGAGGGGAAATCTCCAATAGGGTCACAAAATACATTTATTTTTAGTTGAGTGGGGAAGGGGTACAATGTATGTTTTCTTTGCCTTGGTGACACAGGGAAATTAGGCTAGAGAAAATCTCCCCAGTGGGGGCACAGAGACAGAAATTCCGATCCCAGGAAGTTTAATCCTTCATTTTTTGCCTTTTTTTACACTTTGTAATAATAGTTGAAAAATAGCCCTTGTGCCACCATCCTGAAAGCTGAGCCATTTCCTCTAGTCTAGACGTAGATTCAGGTTATGCTATGCTGTAAACTGAATTGTATTGTCTTTTCTGCATTCTGCTTCTCTACTGGCATTACTCAGTTTTGCATTTTACATATCTTTTATTGTTTATCTTAAGCAAATACTAGAAACCAGGTAGGTGCAGGTGCTCCTAAAAGTTACCATGTTAACATTTATTTATATATTGTAAAGCGCTGCGCAAACTGTTGGCGCTATATAAATCCTGTATAATAATAATAATAATAATAATTTTGCCTTCTTGAACATGTCTATTGACTGTTTAGGTTTAAGTGAATTTGGCCAGCCCTGATTACAATACCCCAAATGCCTCTTTATCGGACTATATTTATCCTGTTTGTATTTCTTGTGTTTTTTGGGGGGATTCAAACAATCCAGTCACTCTGATTTACTACTTCTGTCTTGACAGATTGTTTCCAAACCCTAGTAATACAGACAGTGGCATGCCTGCATTACCATCCCTCACCATGCGGCGGATGCGAGAATCAGCCCGTGGCTCAACCAGGTACATCATTTTATGGAATACTGTTATTTTGACTACAGGAATTTTACAAGCAATAAATATTTAATATGCAGACTGTAGTGTGACGCATATGTATTATTGTTGGTTGAGGGTGGTTAGTGTTTATACTATTGGTGTATGCCTACGTAATGTTCATATTGTCACATATTATTTGCCTTTTTCATGTCTTTTGTGATGAATGAGACCTACACTAGTCACATATAAAAATGTATATATAATTTATTGAACATCTAAAGTTTATTTTATTTAAAAGTAATTTGTTTGTCCCCAGTTCCCAGCACCGATATTCTACCCCTCAGCCCTTCAACTTTTCAACACCAAATCCATCTTCTGAGGGTTCTTTCTCTCAAAGGCAGCGGTCCACTTCAACACCCAATGTCCACATGGTCAGCACCACAATGCCAGTGGACAGCAGGATGATTGAGGTAACAGCAGATTTTTATTACTGTATTGCTAGATTACTTCTGCCCTTATTTGCTAAGCTGTAATATTTGTGCAGTAGACAAATTCTGCAATGGGTTAGCCATAACTGTGCTTGGGGAAAATAGGGTTAAGTCCTTCGGGCTCCCTTACTGGCTCAATAAACTTTGAGAACCGTTCACTTGGAATTGTGTAGAAATTTTAATCTTAAATTGACATCATTGTATTTTCTTATATAAATCAGTGACTAGTTCTCTAAAACCACAAATGTAATTTTTATGTTTAATTCACGGTAATAATTAGAGCTGCATTTGGTTTCAAGAAAAGCAGTGTTAATGGAGTATAATGTGGCTGAAATACATGTTTGAAAATTGTGTTAATTTGAGCTAGAATAATTTAAAGGTTATTTTCCATCTATTTCGATTGTTTCAACAACAGACGTTTTTATTTTGAAGTGACTTGTTTGGAAAAAAAAAAGAAAAGATTAAGCTCTCCATATAAAGGAAAGACTTAATATTTACCTGTCGTGCCCCTAAACTTTGCTCTCTTGAAGAACTACTATGGCTGCAAAATTACCAGCATCTGACACACTTCAGGAGTGCCAAATGCCTGGACCCCATCTGAGCGCAGTGGTTTGATCTGCCAGCCCTTGCTTTACTATTGTCTCCTGTAGTGAGGTAGGGCCTGGCAGATTAAACCACTGCACTCACGGGGGACCAGACATTTGACACTACCAAAAGCACTTGTTAAAAGTGAAGATCACTGGCTCAGGTGGCAGGACTGGCAAGTCTTAAGCCTTTTCTTTACAGGAAGAGCTTAAAGTTGTTTTTTTTCTAGCAACAAAGGGTTTCAGCAAGCACTCTCTAGGGGCCTGGGTATGTGTTTTTATTGGACAATCTAAAACTCTTAAACTCGTAAAGCCTTAGTGTTAAATTGTTGGGTTACCTGGCTCCTAGGATGTTTTGCCTAGACTTTGGATCCTCAATGCGCCTCTTAGGCGGTTGATGAAAAGGACTTTACTGGAAGATGCCTTTAATAGGCCACAGCAATGACTGACATTTTAAAGGCTCATGCTAATATGGCAATAGAAAAATATATCGTCCTTATCCTTTTAACCTTGTTTCTTCTTATCTAGATACATTTATCTTTTCTTTTATTCTCCTTGTATCTCATTATTATAACTAGAATAACTGGCTCAATACTTCTCCCAAGTCCCGGGGCAGACGTTTTTGTTTGTGGGGCAGAGTACGTATTTCTGGGCTAGCTTTCTTGTAGTGATCTGTTGAATGGGTCTTCTGTCGTGTTGTGCCTGATTTGCAGTTCCTGAGGCCATTGTGATGATGTGATCGTCTTGCTTGGTGTGAATCTTACAGCAGCATATTTTCATGCAGCCTACTAACCACCTTTTTATTTTCTAGAATTTTTTTGGAAGTACTGACCTCTAAGAGAGCTCCTAGGTCACACTGTTTTTTTTTTGTTTTTTTTTTTGTTTTTTTTTGTTTTTGTTTTTTTAATTGGTATGACACAGAGCCTCTCTGATCAGCAATGGAGGAGGTTGATAGTTCCAATCTGGGATTTTGTAGTGAAGTGCAAGCTTATAAATCATGGGTCCAGGTTACAGTAATGCCTTTAGTGGTCTGTACACACAGTGGTGAGCCACATTGATACCTACTAGCTGTTTCACCACATGGCCACCAAGTTCACATGTGCCCAGACTATGGACATTAAGTGGACCTTTCATGAAAAATGGAAAGTCAGCTTCCCTGCCAGCCCCCTGCGACCAAAACAAAATTTCCAGGGAGAGTTGGGCACCAGAAATACCTTGCGAATTCACCCAGCCCATTGCAGGAGTTAATTCTGATGGCATTTTAAGTTCCCAGGAGGCAGCAGTGCAATATATGGTAGTGCATGGAGGTACGTTGTGTTAAAAAAAAAACGAGTCTAGGTATAATTTTTAGCATGTTGGGGTGCGTTGCCAACCTATTTATTTCAAGGGCTGTCTTTATGGAGTGTTCATTATTGTGTGTGTTAATGGACTGCTAATAAGTAAATGGGCCCTTAACTGTTTGTTAATAATATGTCAATTGTTTAAAGCAGACCGCTACACTTTAAAATCAAATTCTACCAGTGCATCCCTCTATGTATGATGAGTAATAGTAACATAGACATGTCATGTGTAAAATGCTGCGACTTTAAAATACTTACACATGCAGAGCATTCACTTCCTGCTTTGAAAGGGCAAAACGGCTTCAGTTTGCCAAAGCAATGTGCACTGAGGTTGCCTTGTTATCAGCAGAGCATTGCTGGTAAATCTCATCTGCAATCTCAGCAGATCTCAGGGAAAAGCATTTTCCTCTCCTGAGATGATGTGCATGGTCGCATGTCCTAGTCACATGTGCCAGAAATCAGGAAGTAATAGGAGAGCTAGTAATCTGCACTTAGTAAACATGGCCACTGTCAGAAGACTGGGGAAGAAAAGAGAAATAAGGAATGCAAAGAATTCAGAGGCTGCAGTTATCTTGAAGTATGTGTCTGTAGATTGTCATTACTAAACATTTCTAAAGGTGCGTTTGTTGTTATTTTGAAGATATGGGGAAAGGTCCGCATTAATGTCCATAGTCTGGGTACTGGTGCACTACTAATGAGTGTACTTGCTTACATTAGGTACATTCTGTAAATTTCAATATTGAACCCTGCTACTTGCAAACCCAATCCTTCATAAGCTGACTATGCATTATAATCTTGACTAAAATTTCTTTAGATCTACTGATATCTAAGTAGTGCAAGGGCCTGCTTGAATAGACCGAATAGATTAACAGGCCCTCCACATTACATGGTTCTGGTAAATGTAAAGGAGATTGTACAATCAGATTGTACAAGTATGGCTGGCTTACCTCAATTTCACATTGGTATACACACCAGTACTTCATGAACGTTTTTTAACTTCTGTGATATTTTTATAAGCTTTGAATTGTGAACTTCTAAAAACTGTTACTGTATTGTATTTGCAGCATGGAATTGTGATTTGGTTGAATTCCACGGTCTGAGTCTTGACTTTTGTTGTTTCCTTATTGTTTTGAGATTTCAACTACATTTTAAAGTCCACGTTCATCTTTCTGACTTTATCTTTCCCAATTTGATTTTTGTGAAACATTATTATGCTTGAAGCGGAACTGAACTGATTTAAAATGGTTCAGCTTACTTCAAGGTTTTTCCAAACTGGCTGGATGAGGTACTATGCAAGTAGTAGGCATCTACATACAGTAGACCTCTATTGGGTGTCCTTTGATCCATGCATCAGTTGATGTATAGGCAGCCCACAGAAGTCTGTGATGCCTACCACCCAGCTTGGGGATAGCCCTGTAAACAAAAGCTGAGCACATCAGTTCTGCCTGGCTGGTCAAAGGTCTTCAATTTGATTCAAGACAAGTGGTAGGGAGGGCCCTGGGTCCTGTGCTGAAGTAATACGATTCCAGTCCCACTCTGATAGCTGAGAACTTTATCCTTTTTGCCTGAACATGTTCTTGAACTGTCCAGTTATGTCCATAGAATGTAAGGTCCGCATAGAGCCATTAGAGATTTTCCGAGCTGTGTTTGCAGATCTCTCTAGTAAGCAAAATGAAATAATTTCACTTGTCCAGCCTGTACAGCCATAAGGCGATACACACAACAATACTATATAAAATGTGTTGGAAAGTTTCAGTGGAGCTTTTAATGCATGCATGTGTCGCTTGAACCTGTGTGAATAGTAACGTGTTCCAAAAACCTTTTAATGCTTGAGTAGTGAAATATTTAGCATTTTCATTTTTAATGTAACTGGAGTAATTTGGAAATGGTTGTGGAATGCTTATGACATTCTGTGAAAGGTCCAGGGAAATGAAATGTCCTTGTTTTTTGCATCTTGTGGTTTTTCCCATAATAAAATTAATCTGAATGATAATCACTTGAATAGACATCAGAAACCAATTTGTTAAGTTGATACTCACTGACTGGATATAATTTAAAGCTGAACTCCATCTAGGAGGAATACAATGTTATCAAGGTACTTCCGCACCTAATGCTACAATAAAAATGGAAAAAAAGAGAGCGCAACTACTTTTTCGGGATCGGTTGAGGAGTTGTAAGTTTACAATGGACTAGCTTAAAAAAAAACAATCCCGAAAAAGTAGTTAGTTTTTCATGCAGGAACTCTCCGCCTGTTCTTTCAGAGCCGCACTCCAGTAAGACCATTTTTAACAATTAAACTCACGCAACATCCATTTGAGAGCGCTGAACAATTTTCTATCGCCTCACCTAATGCTGCCCATTTAGTTTTAAGTTCTATTTTTACACTTGTTCTTCTCCCACAAACATGACCCCTACTTGTTTGTATTTTCTGGTTTGTGCAACTGGGCACCACTGTTTTCTCCCTATTGAGAAATGGTTCCCAATCGCTTTACTCCTCTGTGTAGTTCTCGGAAGAATAGCGGTGGTTTGCTTCTGTGGGCAAGTACAATCTTCACAGCACATGGCCATGACCCACCCTCCACCATTGATTAGCAGCTATGTTAATAGCAACTCTGGTTTGCACAGCAGTGTTCCTCAGAGCCCTCCTGAGTACCTCCCACATGCACGCCCTCCAAGTTGGTGCATTCCCAAGGAAATATGGAGTACTTTACAGAACTAGATGATGACGTCACTAGACATAAAAACAGCAATACATGAAAAAGGAAGGCATTTATTGGAACATTTTAAGTGGTTTTATGTGCATTGGGAAATGGAACAAAGGGTTCAGAGTGGGCGGGATCCTGGAGTTCAGCTTTAAGTTCTTTATAAATTTGAGATGTTGAAATGCAATTTAAAAATTGCGCCTGCTTGTAAACTGGTGTCTTGCGGCACACAACCAGACTCCGGTAAGTTCAAAGGGTTTCTCCACAATAGTTTACTCTTGCTTCCAAGCTGCCCCTTAAAACAAGTGCAAGTCCTCCTTTGTCAACTGCATCATGCACAACTGTTAGAAAAGAGCACTTTGTGTTGTGTTTGGTGCCAACAGTCACCTAACATAAATGACAAGCACCTAGGACAGTAGAAACAGAATAGCAGTAGAGAAGAGTTTTATCTGTAATATAGAAATGTGACCACATGCAGAAGGAAGCGGCAAGTGAAATCTGTTCATGGACAATGAGACCCTTTTCAAAGAGGCTTTATAGTTTTTATATCTATACATATTATGCTCAGGACTAATAAAATATGATTTTGGGAAATGTTTATCAGGCATTTATGAAATATTGGATATGAATGATTCATATCTGTTACTTTTAAAGAGCAGGTCAGGTTTTAGGCTCCTTTTTAATGTTTACAGGTTAATCTTGATTGTTTTCTTAGTCTTTTTTCAATGTTTTACAGCTGGAGCTTAGGCTACACATGCATACGCACAATTTGTACAGGGTTTCAATTAGAGATGGGCAAACTGAAAGCAGTCTCTCAGCTTTCTTTGTAGAATATTCGTAAGGCTCTGTGATACCAGAATCCTAGAGGTCTCCGGTAATGCATGTAAAATAAATCTATAATAATACGTAGTAAAAAATGGAAAACCATGTAAAATAGTATAAATGTAAAAATAAAGTTGTTTCAAAACTAGGTAGTTGCTCTTCAAAAAAAAAATGCCAACCAGGCTTTTTTTTTTTAGGAAACACAGCTTTATGGAGCGAGCATTACCTTTGCTTGCTTTATTAAGCAATCCCCTAAAGTAAATCTGTTATACAAAAGATATGGCGGCTGCTACTGCTGGCCCTCTACTGAAAATGCAAAGGCAGCCTGCATGTTTATCTTGTGACAGGTTTACTTTTTTTTAAATAACTTTACAGCTGCTGAAAAATCTTTAAACAAGAAGAAAGCTCAATACAGATATTCCTACATTTGAGGACATGTTTAAAGTATGTGTTTATATGTTTTTATATCAATATAAGCCATTCAGTTTGTCTTTAGCATTGTTTCATTCATAGCATCGTCACTGACACCCTATGGTTTATGTTCCAGGATGCTGTAAGAATTCACAGTGAATCAGGTAAATATATGCATTATTGCTACAAAACCACATTAACTCTCGTGTTAGATTTGGGACTGTGCTCTAAATTTCACCCTTCTTGTTGTCAGGGAGTCCTAATAATTTGAGTCCCACTGGGTGGTCTCAGTCCAAAACCCCAGCTCCAACTCACAGAGAGAAGTCCGCAGTTTCCAGCAGCCAGGAGAAAAACAAGATTGTAAGTGCCATGCTGCATTTGAAACACAGAAATGTTTATACCCAAATGTTTTGAATATATGAAAGGAGTGAGTAGAAGTGGTGTAGAGATGGGAGTAGACTAATCGGAGGCTACACCACTGTACAGTGGAGAACTAGCACTAAAGAACTGGGCTCTCAATAAAACCCAGGAAGGGTATAAGCGCAACTGACTCCCACAAGATGGCAGCACCTTGATAGTCAGGGGAACTGGACATCTGGAAGAAAACAAGCAAACAAAGGGCGCCTCCCGATTTGTAGAAGTTTTAATTGATCAGAATAAACAATCTACTATTGGATGTTTTGTGAGTACAATCCTCACTGTTTATTTTGATCAATAAAAACTTCCACACTAGGGAGGCGACCTTTGTTTGCTTATACATTAAATAGAACCCATGTCTAGAATATGCACATTAACATATTTACATATTCTGAACAAGCAGTGAGAGCACTTTAAAATAGGCACTTGCCATAAGCATTGTGGAGAAATTAATCTTCAAAGTTCAACAGAGGCACTGAAATCACTATTCCTGTCCAATTATTCTCTGCTAATGGCTATACTTGTAAAATTATGCATTGCTTGCACAGTTAGTCCCAAGACTGAGAACTGCAATTTGTGCCTCACAGAATTCTGATGGGGCAGCTTACAAAGAGCAGAACTTTTTTTGTGATTCAGTTCTGCTTTTGAGTTTTACATATTGTACAACAATATAGCTGTTGACATGAACCCTTCGCAGTGCAAGTTAGGGCCTGTGTCGACAGGCTTTGGGCTTTTGTCAATCACATGTTTGACGTCAGTTTGAGACACTTTTGAAACCATTCATAATTTACATTCAGGTGCATTTTACCTTTAGTTGCCCTTCTTACGGGCCTGCATTTGACCTGCTTCAAGCAGGTTTTGCATTCCTATAGACTTATATGGGAATGCAAAACTTGCTTGAAGCGAACAAGACAATCACCAAAAGCCCTTAAGGTCTTGGAACTAGGGGCCTTCAGACATGGGTACCCTTATCCAATTGCTCTTCTTTTTTTTGTTAGTAATTATTTATTTTGCAGCGCTCCCGGGGACAGAGAGATTCCAGCTACTATTGGGAGATCGAGGCCAGCGAGGTGATGCTATCTTCAAGAATAGGATCAGGATCATTTGGGACAGTGTATAAAGGCAAATGGCATGGTAAGTACTAAACCTGGTGGTATGTTGTATGCATCTCTTCTGCCTTTTACCACTACTCTTTATTATCTTTATGTATAGTAAAAAAATATGTAAATGTCACAAGTGAAGCTCAGAATTTGTCAAAACATTTAATATATCCATCATGGATTTCGCCTACTTTCATCAACTTCTCTGATCTGCTTTAAATTAAAATGAGCAATAAATTGCAGGGAAGAGAAGTGTCAGCCTCAGCCTGTGCTGTCTGAGATTGAGGTCATATATTTGTATTGAACATTCCAGTTTTAAACTAAGCACCATTTGGATAGCGTTACTGCATGTAAACATATGCACCGTATGCTAATAATTGTACATTATTGATAGAAACAATACCATGTTTTTTTTTGTTTTTTTTTTTACAAAAACCAAACCATTTTTACATTTATACTTAAATTGCATCGAGATGATTGCATCAGACTATACAGTTCAGTGATTATGTTGCAGTATACTACACAAATGGTAAGTAATGTTAAAGTGGATCTCCAGGCTGATAAGACACAAATTAATGCAGCTCCGTGTATTTGAATTGGTATCTGCCTTTTGCAGATTTTGAAAAGAGGGTCAAGCAGCACAAGGAGCCAGTCAACTGTACTACAATACTATAGTGCTCATGTGCTAACAAGAGAACATGCTAATATGAGGAGATAGACAGTGTGTTCAAAGTATAATTTAACTTTTTTTTTTTTTGCATATATCTACTGCTTGCTAGCAGTAGATATATGCAAAAAAATTAAAAAGTTTCCAAAAAGGCTTTTACTTACCTCTGACTCCGCCGCTCGCTTCCATCCGAAGTTCGGAAGATTCTCGAGCGTTCGTTCAGCACAATGCGGTGGGCTCATGTGCAGTACAGATCTTCGGCCAGGAGAAGTGACTCAGTGTAAGTCAATGCAGGCAGCCATGAGCGTGCACGTCGGACAGACACCGTGGGACACAGCAGGCAGCGCTGGATCAGAGACCGGCACCAGCGTTGGAGGGATTCCTGAAAACTACTGGAAAGAAGATGATCGGATCAAGAGGCAAAATTAAAGGTAAGTCCTTAAAGCGGCATGGAGCGGGGGGGATATTTGTGACGTTAATGTCACTTTAACTGATTTGTCTGCTGCTTTCCTGGCTAGTCAGAGGCTGGGGGCAGGGGGGGTGGTGGTGTCTGTGATTAAGTTAACTTTTTAAAGGGTATTGAAGGTATTGCTCTGCCATCTGTCTAATGTAGTAGGGTTAAGAATAATTAGTTTTCTCTGTAAGCAAATTAGGAAGGTCATTGTCAGTCATAAAAAAAATCAAGTACTCCTGTAACACAAAGTTTTTTGTACCTACAAGTACTGGGCAGCCCATGCGTTCATAAGTTATTTGAATTTGGTCATTTGTAGCGAGACAACTTGCTGAAAAAGATATAAGATGAAAACTGGTTATGTGTCAGATATTTTGGGTCCAGTTTAAATGTTAAAAGTATGTAATGGGTTATATATGCTCTGTGAAGGATATAGGTTTGGGAGGTTTTTGCCAAACCTTTGGGAACCTCTGAATGCTCCTATCGCATGTAAAGTTGAAGTCCCAAGATCGTGCTCAAACTGGGCCCTTTTAAATAAACTTAACAAAGGAGAGTTTTATTATCCAGAGTGAAATTTAGCAATAACTGCATATCCTAATTGTAAATATCCATATACATGATGACCATGGGTTAGGAATTTGTCTTTGACCTTTGGGAAGAAGATTCACCTGTTTATTGCTGTCCTATAAACAACAACCCAGCCTGAAGCTTCAGAAAGCTTTTTGAAACTGAGGGTTACCTCACAACAGAATATTATATTAATGAGTGGTAGGCAGGGAAAGTGTTTAAAAGGTTCTTTACTACATTTCAACAGGCATTGTTGGTGTAGCATTCTACAATTCCATAGAAGCTCAGGGTGGGCTTATTTCCAATAGCTCAGGGTTGTGTTTGCTTTTGGCCAGACAAACCGGTGACACAGTTGTGACAGTTTTGCAGCCATATAATAATTTGGCATAAGGGATGGCAGTGCCAGGATGAATTGCAGGCATATAATAGGCATAAGGGATGGCAGTGCCTGGATGAAGCACAAAAGTTGTATGGAATTTTGTAATTCAGGTGTGATCTGGTCCGGTCCTTTCTCCAAATGAAAATGATTAAATTCAACTTTTTAGAACATATTCTAGGCAAATGTGCAGGAAATTAGAAGGTTACTCAAAGAATTTGAGGTAATATAATAATTTTCATTTAAGTTGATGTGATCTGTCACAAAAAGTCAAGTCAATACCATGTGCAGGGTTTAACCATTTCTCTGCCAAGCCCTGCGTAATGCTTTTAACCTCCGCTAGCCACACCATTTTTGAAATTATTTTCTACTGCTGCATTGCTAGCATTTGCAAAAGACCCCGCAAACCATACATGTTCTGAAAGCACAGGCCTGGTAGAATAAAAAGATGGTGCTACTAATTTTGTACGTCCTGTGCCAACTGCGAAATGTTTACCAAGTCAGTATTAAACCGATAAAAATGCACACAAAATAATTAATAAAAGCACACAAATCAGTATAGCTTATAGCAGAAGGGTGAAAGCCACCGTAATTTTTTTATTATACAGGATCTATACAGCGCCAACAGTTTGCGCATCGCTTTACAATATAAGCAAGGCATTACAATACAATTCAAGACAAGATGGTAAGGAGGGCCCTGCCCATGAGGGCTTACAATCTAAAAGGAAGGGACCAGTGATACATGAGGAGATAGCTGTGATGGTTCAGTGGTTAGTTTGAGGTGGGATAGTCTTCCCTGAAGAGATGAGTCTTTGGGGATCGCCTAAAGGCAATCAAGGTGGGAGATAGACGGACAGGTTCGGGTAAAGAGTTCCAGAGGATGGGAGAGACTCTAGAGAAGTCCTGGAGGCGAGTATGGGAGGAGTTGACAAGGGAGCTGGAAAGCAGTAGGTCTTGGTAGGAGCGGAGGGGGACGGTTAGGGTGATAATTTGAGATGAGGTTTGAGATATATGGCTTACTGACGTGGCAAGCTGGAATCAGTAGTGTTCTTCCATAAGCCTTACGTCGGTGGTAGGGAAAGGGTTAAATGAGTTTGTGCTACTAGGATATTATTCAGATAATATTTTAAATTATGTAAAACTCCAAAATATCTGTTCACATTTGTTTGTAATCTTGTGTCAATTCTTGGAAATTTCATTAGCGCCCAAGATAGATAAACGATTACGGTAATCTTCCGTGAAATCACTGAATAATCTTCAGTGAAATGTCAAAATAATTACATCTAGGCAGCTGAAATTCTTCAGGGAGGTTCACCTTTCTGTTGCAGTCCCTCCTAATGATGAGGATTCACAATGGCAGAGCTCTGCAGTAGATTTCTTGACTTCCCAAGCTGTCCTTTCAAATACAGGGATCAACTCATTTTAATCATGTGACTTTCACTAAATCTAACCTTGGCTAATTTTATAATATGCTTAGTCTGAATTTCCCAGGTTTGAGTTTTCACGATTGCAAACGTTAAAGTATATCTATGGCCAAAAAAAAACAACTAGTGTTCTCAGTAGTTAATGTGACGGAGCATTTACCTGTTCTGTAAGCTGTCTTTAGCACTTAACTTACCAGGTGATCCAGCCAAAAAGATAATTTGGAATCCCACTTTCTGTTGACGTCATTGGACCGTTGGCAACCGGCTTTACAGTTTTCTCCAACTAGAGAGGCTCCTCTCAAAGACATGCCTCTAATACTGACAGCACTCGCAAAGAATCATGGGAGAGGTAGTTCAGTCTGCAGCCTACTAGGCACAGAAAGGTGACCTATGGGTGCTACCTTCCCGCCTACCCTGAAGTCTGTGCAAACAATCACAAAGCCTTGTGTACACCAGTGCTCACATACCAAATGTACATTTACACGATCTTGAGATATTGCAAACTTTGATATGAGACTTTGGATTCACTTTAAGCGACGCTGCCCAAATGATAAGATGCACAAAAAAGAGGAACTTGCGAAAACCACAACATGTTGAAAGCAACCTTGAAATACAAGATGTAATTGACTCACATTTTCTTTATTTAGGCAGAAGCATTTATTCTTAGTTTATTGCAGTAAAACCTAGCTGCGTTTTCTGTAAACCTCCCCTACTGACTGTTGAGTTTGGCTTTGCTAAGTTGTATGCGAGTGTTTATGCATATACAGAAAAAAATTCCCTTCTTGTATTGCCAGGGTATAGGGGTGTGGAATTTGTTTCATACACATTTTTATTTCTTATGCTTCAAAGCAAAAGTGCTTCTACGTCTAGATTTATATGTGCGCTAATAAAATTACTATATTAATTTGTATCTTTAAAAGTTTTAAGTGCTTGATTATAGAGTGCTATTTTTATTCTTCCACTTCAGCACAAGGATGTAATTTATAAAAACTGAAGAAAAGGAAAATTGGAGGAGTTCCCATTAGCAGGCAGATCATATACAGTATATGCTATTATTTTCCCATGTGTGCATACGGACAGCAGCTGTGATCTGATTGGTGACTGGAGAACATTTTACTGTATAGCAGCTCTTCACTATTTCTTTTTTTCCACAAACACAAACTTTGCATGCTATCTGGCCACATAACATAACGTTAGAAGTGTGACTACCTTAACCTCCAGAGACCCCATTCTTGGATGTGGGGGATGGCAGAGCAATTCTCCTGCAGAAGAAGACACTTCATATTTTTCTTGTTTCCGTTTGTGGAAAGTTCATTTGAGATATATAAAAAGCGCACCAGCAACTAGTAACATAACTCGTGCTGTTGTCACCACGTTTTAGGGGCATGCCCGTTTCTTCAGGGCTAGATACTGACCTGTATTCGGGGATATGAGTACATTAACAGCCAATCATATCCTTTATCGAAAGCACGCTCCCATTATGCTGAAATCTTGAGTGGATGGAACCCAAAAACACATGTGCACAATACGTCACAGAGTGTCACCAACT